CTGAAGGTTGCTATTCTTCTGGAAAGTTGGTTCCACTAAAGTAGCGGTGGAAATCTATTCAAAAGGCAGACACAAAAAACAAAAAAACAAACATTGACAATAAACATTAAAATGTATCATAGCCTGACATCATGACAATAAAACTTATTATAGTTTCTACTGATGATTGTTATCATCATTAATTTTTTTTTTATGGTATAAAGTTTAAGAATACTTTATATAGGCAGAGTGTATCACTTCGTTTATCCTCTTTCCAAGTAAAGATTGCAACTGATCCGCTAAGTGGGTGATCATTCTCGTTTACAACTTTCGGTTATTTTTCGGTTATAAATATCAATTTTTACCAGGTACAATGTGTTATCCGAAAAGCTCCTTTTCTACTTGCTTCGGTTTATTTCGGTTATTCTGGAAAATACTGAACAAGAAGAAAAAGATTCTTCTCATGGTATCAATTTCAATTGAAAACAATTGTGTCAATGAAACCATGAAGCTAGAAAATATTGGAAAACGCAACTTAAAGTATAAACGTAGCTCAAACTATGTCCTTCGTATTGAACTTTCAACAGAATCTGAAGAACAATTTGCAACAAGTCTACCTATTTTTCCAGAAAATGTTATAATTTCATCATAGTTTCTCTAGTAAAAAAGATGTGTTCCAGTGAGAACATATCTTCGTCTATGTTAATAGGTAGAAAAAATGACTAGGAGACCTGAATACTTTATTTTTCTCACATAATAAGTATGATTTCTGACTTACATATATCAAATGATGGACACAATTTGTGCCAGAAGTATGTTTCAAAAAGTCAATCCTATCTACAGTACTATAGATATATTAAATTAAATTCAACCATTATACGTTTGTTATACAATATATAGATTTTGGTAGTAAAAGTCAATGAAAATTATAAAAATTGGTTAAACATAAATTAATTACACTTCAATATTAGTTATATAAAAATATTTATTACATTGTGGAACTAACTTTTAGTGACATAAAAATTATTAAAAAATTGTGCTATATAATCAGAACCCAGTTAAGAAGGAGACACGTTAAAGTAAGTCCAACTGCCGTAACATCCAATTAGCTGGATATTGTTAGCTAAACTCAGAGACTGTGCAATACACATAAAATGATAATAATACAGGTGCAGGTGTTGACAGGTTGGTTGAATATGGTAATGCAATGGGCTGCCCTTGGATTTCATGGTTCCATGGGAGGTATAATGAAGCATACGTTGAGACTCGGATAGCTTGTGATAGATACGTAGTAGGAAGGTGGTAGGAGTATGGATAATATGGTAATCAAGGTAATGTATGGAAGGATGAGAGCTGAGGTCAGGGTTGATGTGCTCAACCTCGTATGTTATATCATATCCAATTAAGCGAGGGAACAGATCTACGATGCTGATCAAGCTAGACTGTGGTATAAATAGAAGCAAGTCGTCCATGTATTTCTACCAAGCGCTGACATTGTGGGATAGGAATAAATCGTCGTAGTAGAGTTCAATTTGAGAATCAAGATATGTTGTAGCTAGTAAACCAGTGGCGCCACCACCTTGGGCCAATCCTTCGACCTGATGATCAAGGTACCATCAGAAGTGAAATAATTTCCCAAATGAAGGATGTAGTGGAGCAGTTGGCGGAGTAATTCGACGGGAAGTGGATTTTGGACGGGAAGTGGTCATTCGAGGGGCAGTAAATTCAGTGTCGCGAGTAAGATGTGGGATTATACTGGTGGATGATGCTCGGAGGAGACCTGGTAATATAATGTGGTTTTTATACAGGAAGTAAGAGGGTCTTTTAGTAAAATAATAAGGATAATAATAAAAAATTTTTTTGAGTTTTGTTATGTTTTTGGTTTTTTGGTTTTTTATGGTTTAATGTGATTTTTTGTTTCTTAATTTGTAATTTTTACAAAGTAAGAAATAATTAATTACATGTGTGGTTTCAAGTGGTAATGATGAATGGTGAACTAGGGGCTGCGGGGACACCTGGTGGTCAGAAATAAGAATTAGAAGATGTGAAAAATGGAAATAGATACAATTAAAAAGTATAACACATACCTGGCTGGCTGGTTATTGGAACTTGAGTATGGGGGTCCATTTTTTTTTGTTTTTGTTTTGTTTTTTTTTGTTTGTTTTTATTATTGTATATGCATATGAATGATCTTTGAAGAGATGGACATAGTGTCAAAATTGCTAAAAGAAACGAAAGGAATACAAACGCATACTAGAAAAGTAATGTAATGAGAGTAATGTAGTAGTACAGGTAAAGGAAAAGGAAAAGTATTTAAGATTTTTAAAATGCATTTGAAGTAGAAGGGTGGAAAGCGTAAGGTATAAAGGTTGGGGAAATGAGAATAAGAAAAAAGGGGATCACAGGTGTAATGCGGTTCAATGCAGAGCAATGGGTTTTTGCATTGGATATGGTATGCAATACAAAAAAGCATATGGGGTGTTTGTTAAGATTTTTAAGCTTCCTAGGTTTTGTTTATTCTTTGTTAAACTTTTTTATAAAAAACTTTTTTAAAAAATTTGAAATTTGTGACCAAAGGAGTTTGTGGTTATGAAGTTGGAGAAAAGTGAAAGTGTGATTTGTGCATGGCTTTAAATAATGAGACTCATGTCACAATTGTGGGTGATGATGAATATATTGTATGGTAAGACATGATGGGGTAGGTATAAAAGTGGGAGTTATAAGGAATAGTAAGAATGGTTAGTAAAAATCTGTTAAGGATTTGTAGTGTAAGATTTTCGGTAATTTCGTCAGCAATTTTCAATCCGGGTTTTTTTGCTTCAGCAATTTTCAATTATGGTTTTAATTTGCAATTTTTCTTCAGTAATATTCAATTCAGATTAATTCTGGTTAATTTTAAACAATTTTTTTACTGGTTATGGTGTGGATATTTTATTAATTTTTTCACAATAATTACTTATTGGTTTTTACAATGGTTTTTTATGGTTGTATTTAGAATAATAATTTATTTATTTAATTATCTTTTTATTTATTTAATTATCTTTTTATTTATTTATTTATATTTTCATTTTTTAATATGTTTTTCTATGTATTTTATATATATGTTTTTTTTTTGTTTTTTACTTTTTCGATAATTATTCAATAATACAATATTCTCAATAATTATATTTTTTTTAATAATTGGTTATTATTTTTACAATAATTATATATTTGGCAGGATTATATTTTATAAGATTATACGTGTATGGGTGTGAAATTTACACCTGTATGCTTTTATGTTTAAATAGGGTTTATAATTATACCTGTATGTTTTTATGTTAATATGGTTTTTTATTGTTGCATTTTTATAATTCTTGTGTACGGTGTATATGGTGTATATATATAGGTTATATGTACAGATACACAACAATACATAGTTACTACAGACTGAAATTTTTTCAATCCACTCTGATGAGTCTGGGTAGTTCCCAGACGAAACGCGTTAGTGGAAACTACTAGGTGACAGAAAATGCTATTTTTTACTGACATATTGACGGACACAAGTTTACATATTGTGTACTTATTATTATTTTTTAATTTTCTTAAATTATTTATATTATTTCTATTATTTTTTTAATAAATTTTTTTATTTTATAATTTTTATTTTTTTAATTTTTATTTTTATTTACTTCTTTATTTGTTTTCTTGTATAATTTTATATTTTTGTATATTTTTTATTTTTATTTTATTTTTTATTATATTTTATTTTTTTGTGTATATCTGTCTATATTTTTATTATATTTTTATATATATTGTTTTGAGTTTTTAGGTTTATCTAATTTAGATTTTGTAGTTTTTACTTTTTTTTATATATATGTATATAAATTTTGTATATATCTTTTATATGTGTATATAATAGTATATTAATATAGGTAATTTTTCTATAGTATTGAATTAGGGGTAGGTATCCATCATTAAAGTATTACAGGGTTAAGTATATTAATTTCTTTCAGTGACCATCATCACTGTGTCCGTTTGTTGCTATTGAACGGCATTCTGGAGGCTTGGTTGGATAACCCATTTGCTGGGTTATGTAAGCAAGGTATTGACAAATTTCCAAACGTATAATTATGATTGGAAGTTTGGGCATTAATAATAATACAAATATGATTTATTTGCGCCTGTGTAATATTTTATCATTGTTTCAAACCACATCCAGTGAAAAAATCTTCGGCATGGCCAATGCATTTTATTCCAGGGAATTTATTTCTGTGCTAAATATTTTATCATTGTTTCAAACCAAAAATGAAAAATCTTAACTATAGATGGCGCTTAACATTTATCAATGTGGCTGTAAACAACATCAACTATTTTTTACGTTCGCATGGCCATCTGTTGTAAAAAGAAAAACAGCGATAGCAAAATAGAAAGAGCAACCAACTTAACGTTTTTCGTTTTCTTTTGTATCATTATTACTTTTAAGAGTTTTGGGTAAAGAACGAATAAAGACTTAAGTAGAAATTAAAACACGTGTTTTACTTCTTGTGTTATTTGCATTAAATATTATATGTGCAGAAAGTGCACTGGCAATCATAATATTTACATTTATACAAATAGTGAAAAAGAAAGCTATAATTGGTGACCCCGTGGTAAAAACGACACAGCAAATACTTTCAACATGAACACCGAGCAGCAGCCTTCTACAAGTCATGCCACGCAAGAGCATTCTGACGAAAAAGAAGTAGCGTCGGTGGAGTTTAAGTTACCGCCATTTTGGAAACAAGATCCAGCCTTGTGGTTCATCCAAGTGGACGCAGCATTCCATCGCAAGAAGATTACTGGAGACAACAGCAAATATTGGACAGTAATTTCTTACATTGATCCAGAATTACTGCAACATGTCTCAGACATAGTCAAAAATCCTCCTGATACCGACAAGTATAAAACACTTAAAGAATGTCTTATCAGTCGTCTAGTTACAGTTACAAACTTTACTATACGACATTGAATTAGGAGACAGCAAACCGCAATTGTTACGCAAAATGCAAGACTTAGCAGATAACAAAGTAACAGAAGATGTCTTACGTTCACTCTGGTTAAAGCGACTACCAGCCAACGTTCAGTTCGTTCTGTCGGTCAATGTAGAAAGCAGTCTCACGGCAGCAGCAAATATGGCTGATCGGTTAATCGAAATCAATCCAGTACAAAGTGTCATGGCCACTAGTAATGTTAATGACATTATAGTACATCCAAGTAAATTTCCTGATGATCAACGCACAGATAGACTGGAGAAAGCAGTACAAGCCTTACAAGAAGCGGTAAAAGAAATCACCAACAGCATGAGAAGTCATGAGCGAACACCAAATAACAGAGCACGAGCAAGACCTGAGTCTTTCCACCAAACATTTGCACAGAATAACAAAATATGTTTTTACCATAAACGTTTTGGCACAAATGCAAATAAATGTGAAGACGGGTGCACATATACACAAAAACAGGGAAACTAAACAAGCTGTCCTTAGAGCAAACGGGAAGTGACAGCTATTCAGTAAAAAAAGAAATCCGTTTGTATATTTATGATAAAAAAAAGCAGAATAAAAATTTTAATAGATTCAGGTTCAATATTATCAGTATTACCGAGAGATCTTTTTCAAACAAAACAAAACCTTAGTGCAATGAAACTGTATGCTGCAAATGCAAGCGTCATAAATACCTACGGCAGAAAGATCCTGCAGCTAGATCTCAACTTACGCAGATGCTTCAAATGGCCATTTACAATTGCAGATGTACAAATGCCCATCATCGGAGCAGACTTTCTGAAACATTTTGGTTTGCTCATTGACTTGCGTAACCGATGTCTTATCGACGTTACCACTAATTTCACAACAAAATGTAACATTGTACGAACTTCTGTGCATAGCATCTCCACCATAAATCAACAGAATACTTATTCTAACATATTGAAAGATTTTGTTGACATTACTAAACCTACGTCAGCACCACTCGCGGAAACCGAGTCTCCAGCTGCTCATTTTATCGAAACGACTGGATCCCCAGTTTTCGAACGCCCCAGGAAACTAGCCGGCGAAAAACTAAAAGCACTACGACTTGAAATCGAATGTATGCTCGAACAACGCATCATAAGAGCGTCACGAAGTTCGTGGGCAAGTCCAGTTCATCTTGTACCAAAAAAAAATGATGGCTGGCGCGTTTGTGGTGATTACAGAAAATTAAATGCTAAAACAACGCCAGACAGGTATCCACTACCACTACTACAAGATCTTTTCCAGAGATTACATGGAAAAAAGGTGTTTTCAACATTAGATCTAATAAAAGCCTATCACCAAATACCCATGGCAACGCAAGATGTTCCAAAAACAGCAATCAATACCCCATTTGGCCTGTACGAATACGTCGTTATGCCGTTTGGATTACGCAATGCATCGCAAACCTTCCAAAGGTTTGTCGATTCTGTTTTTAGAGGACTTGACTTTGTATTCGCCTACATAGATGATGTAATTATCATGTCAGAATCCCATGAGCAGCATCAAGAGCATCTGAAGCAAGTTTGTCAGCGTCTTAGAGAATATAAGTTAGTCATTAATGTCAGCAAATGTGTTTTTGGCGAAGAGCAAGTACAATATTTGGGTTATACTATCAACCAAAATGGTTATCAGCCACCTAAAGAGCGTGTTCAAGCAATTGTCAACTATAAACAACCTGAAACGATTCAAGATTTACGAAGATTCCTCGGTGTAATCAACTATTATCGCAGATGTATACCTAATGCAGCCAAACTCCAAGCACCTCTCAACGAATTTATAAAAGATTCGAAAAAAAATGATAAAAGAAAAATTCCATGGACGGCAGAAACAGTCAAAGCTTTCATAAAATGCAAAGAAAGCCTAGCTGAAGCAACTCTTATGTCATTTCCAAACCCCGAAGCAACTCTAGTTCTCACAACAGATGCCTCTGACACCGCAATCGGAGCAGTTCTAGAGCAGTTCGTTGAAAGTCAATTCAAGCCTATTGGTTTATTTTCAAGAAAATTAAATTCAACTGAATGCAACTACAGCACTTACGATCGAGAACTCCTCGCAGTGTTTTCAGCAGTTAAATTTTTCCAGCACTTCTTAGAAGATCGCCCATTTGTAACTAAAACCGATCACAAACCTCTCGTTTATGCATTGCATAGGAAGACTGAACAAGCTTCACCTCGGCAACTTCGCCAGTTGTCCTTTATATCACAATTCAACACAGAGATAGTGTACGTCAAAGGTGAAGATAATATTGTAGCTGATGCATTGTCCAGAATCAACCAGATTGACATGCCAACAATTATCAGTTCACACGAAATTCAACAAGCTCAAGCTAACGATGACGAACTTCAAGATTTGTTAAAAAATTCCAATTCTTCATTAAAATTACAGCGACTTAACGTTGATCCAGAACAAAACATATTTATTTATTGCGATATCTCGTCTGGAACCATAAGACCATTTATTCCTAAGCAGCTTCGTAAAGCAGTTTTTGATGCGGTTCATGGACTAGCTCATCCTGGAGGTAGATCAACAAGTAAACAGTTGAGAACTAAATTTGTTTGGCCAGGAATCAGACAAAATGCTTTAGCATGGTCACGTAGTTGTTTATCCTGCCAAAGAGCCAAGATACAACGGCACAACAGACTCGAGCCCAATCATATCGCAGTACCAAGTACTAGGTTCAATCATATCCACATTGATCTCATCGAGCTATCAACAGTTGATGGATTCAGGTACTGTCTCACTATAATAGACAGATTTTCCCGTTGGCCAGAGGCCATACCTATAAAAAATATCACTGCAGATACAGTTGCAACAGCCTTGTATGACAATTGAATATGCCGTTATGGTACACCTCTATCAATTACTTCGGATCAAGGTACTCAGTTCGAGTCAGCCCTTTTCACTGCAATGGCGAAATTAATAGGCGCTTCCCGCATCAGAACAACACCTTACCATCCAGCTTCCAACGGCATGGTAGAGCGCATGCACCGAACACTAAAGGCAGCTCTCATGTGCCATCCACAAATTCCTTGGACACAACGCTTATCAACTGTGCTCCTTGGACTCCGCACGTGTGTTAAAGAAGATTTAAACGCCTCATCTGCAGAACTACTATATGGAACACAGCTGCGCGTGCCTGGAGAATTTTTCATCAACGAAGATATGCCAGCAGATCCGCAAGTGTTCGTTGAAAAGTTAAGAGAGCACATGCGAAGCATCAGACCAACTCCAACGGCTCATCACACAAAAGCTAGAGTCTTCATACTAAAAGATTTATATAAATGCTCACACGTATTTCTAAGACTAGATGGAGTTAAAAAGCCACTCGAGTCACCGTATTCCGGACCACACAAAGTGATGGAAAGAACGAGTGACAGAGTATTCAAAATCGATGTCAACGGTGAACAAAAGTCAATATCAATAGAAAGACTAAAACCGGCATTTGAAGCCAAAAATGATTTGTCGACAACTAAACAAGAGCTACCTGAAACGCCAAACCTACACCATTGGGGTTCAGGTATGGACCGCCCTAAAAGAACGTTCTCGAGGTTGAAAAAGGTATCGTTCCCAAGTGATTGCACTAGGTCACTTGGGGGGGAATAATGTGGCTGTAAACAACATCAACTATTTTTTACGTTCGCATGGCCATCTGTTGTAAAAAGAAAAACAGCGATAGCAAAATAGAAAGAGCAACCAACTTAACGTTTTTCGTTTTCTTTTGTATCATTATTACTTTTAAGAGTTTTGGGTAAAGAACGAATAAAGACTTAAGTAGAAATTAAAACACGTGTTTTACTTCTTGTGTTATTTGCATTAAATATTATATGTGCAAAAAGTGCACTGGCAATCATAATATTTACATTTATACAAATAGTGAAAAAGAAAGCTATATCAATTTTGCTTTCATTTTTGCCACAGAGATTTATGGTAGAATTTTCAAATTTTGGTAAAAATAGGCAACGACTTAGCATGAGCTGTAATCATCAATGGTAAGATAAGATTTGTTCTGTCAGCCTTGTTGTTGTTATCGTTGTTATCGTTGTTATGGTTGTGGTCCTAGAAGCATAACACGACACCATGGCAAGCCTGGATGAGGTTCTTGGCAAATAGTTCCTACAATCCATATTAAACAAAAAAAATTGTGCTACCACCCATATGAATTGGTATTAACACAGTCCAATCGATTTGTATGGCGACGATTTTCTGATTTGCCTTCTTATGCTTCCATAGTTTCGCTGCATCGAGACGAAAGGGCAATCAATGAAGCGCAATTTTTTGTTTTTATATTTACAAAATTTTTCTACTTTTTGGTTAAGAGAAAATAGAGAGGAAAGGGCGCTCAATAGCTCAATAGTAGTCAGACACGAAGAAGAGTTGTTAAGTGTTGAATGGACACACAAATTCAAACGCATGGTCTTTGCTCTTGTATATATTTTTCTAAAATATATGATTGACTTTGTGTGCATGCAATGAACAAATTCTTCCAAATTATTACAAATTCTTTCAAATTCTTCCAAATTATTACAAATTTGATTTTTGATAAAATTTTATCAAATCTCATACAAATAAATGAGGTTTGCCTAATATGAGGTGAGTAAACACCGGCAGTAGCTCAACCATAGTTGTTGTTAGTGCAAATGGTATTAATGTGTATGGTAGTGAAGACAGTACTGTGCCCTATAGTCGCAATTATATCATGAAGTATATTAATCAACACTACATTGTTATATAATTAATTATATTTCGTATTTAAAATTTTTAATATTATTTAACTAAATCATAATTACTACTAGGTTAGGTTAGGTTAGGTTACTGGGGCCGTCCGAAGACACACTTAGACCATGAGGTCCATTGTGATACCCTAAGAATTTGACACCTGTCCCTATAACCACTTGGTATTGGCTACAAAGCCATTGACACGAGCTATGGAAATAGAATCTAGCTCTCTTAATGAATAGAAAAAGTGCGACCCTAAGTAGGATAGTCTATGTCTTGCGAAGGCAGGACACTGTAGCAGAAGGTGTGTTGGTGATTCCTCTTCATCATCCTCCATGCAATGTCTACAATGTAAGGAGGTCCTGATGTTGAGTCTCACGGCATGTCCTCCCAACGGGCAGTGTCCCGTAATAATTCCCACTATCCTGGATAAATTTGCTCGGGATAGATTGATTAATTCCCCCGATCTTTTCTTACTTATTTTTGGCCAAAATTTCCTTGGTTTTTATGCAGTTGGTTACTGTTGACCATCTTCTTTCAAACATTTGGTATGTCCATAATTTTATTCGGTGCCGACAAGAAGCAACTGGTATACCCACACTTTCTTTTTCCAGAAGAATTTGTGCTGTCGTACCATGTCTTGCTAATTCATCTGCTATACAGTTGCCTTGGATGTCCCTATGTCCAGGGACCCAAATAATTCGTATCCGAAAATATTCAGCCATCACCATAAGTGATGTAAGACA